CACCTCGAAACGCCTAAGGCAGAGCCCTCCGTCTTCCGCAGAGCTCACACGCGACATATCGCTTGGGCCCGGTTTCGAACGCGGGATAACTGCCCCGTCTGTTTCAGAAGGCTTGTCCCCATCTGCTTCCGGGGAAACAAGACACAAGCTAAACCGGCCGTGCAGCTCCAGCGATACCCCAGCTTCTTTCCAGTAACAGCTGGGTGAGATCCTCCCATCGGGACAGGAGGCGTGCCCCTGACACAAAGGGTGGTGGGAGCATGGAACACGCTGCCCCTGTCAGGCCCACATGACAGCTGGACGAGATCCTTGGATCAGCGAGCTGCTAGCTGGGATGCACGGCCTCCTCCCCTCTGCAGACACACGTTCTTGGTCTGCTGTGGCAGGGATGCAATGTCAGCTTCCCCTCCTTTGCCGTTTCCCCTCGGCTGGGCGGGCCAGGCTAGGCGACAGGAGTGGGGAGACGCTGGGTCTGAAGCTGGAACCACCCGCTGAGGGCCCGCGAGAGAGGGGCCTGGCACACAGCCTGCGCCCACCACTGCCGCACTGGAAGCGATGACATTACGACAGGGCAGCCGATACTCAAACAGGCGTGTCAGAATGAGCTCCTGGAGAGCCTGGTATCTTCTGGGTCCTGCTCGCAGGTCCATCGCTTGTCTAATTATTTCATTAATGAGGCTGCAGGGTAACTGTACACGTCTGGGGTACTCGCGTATAAAACACTTAAAGATACATCCCTTCATCCGTTTAAGAAAAAAAAGAGGTTAATAGTTTAACTGACTGTTCAGATGGAACAAGGCACTTTGCTCTCCAGGGAATAACACTGGTATTCCTATACTAAATATAACAGCAATAAAGATAACAGTACAGTATGTAAGACCCCGTGTGCATGTCTGAAGTGTACAAACTGTAGTAAAGGTTCTCTGTGCTACATCATCTGCTATCAGATCTGCTTGTCGACAGCTCTAAGTGAAGGCTGATGGTGTAAGGCAGGGGTGACCTACAAATCAGTAAGGAGATCTGTTTCTGAAGATCTGGAATAATTCCACTGCGATCAATCACAGAGGTGATTTGTATCAAGTAACGTGGAGATCATTTAGCACTGAAATCCAAGTGCTCTTCAGCCTTCAATGACCAGAGCTCTCTTTATCAAGAGAGCATCAGCAGCTGATGGGTGCTGCTAGTCTTTAAAAGCAGGGGATCTAAGAGGCTGACTGGGCCGCTGCTGGGGACCCTTGGTCTAAGGTCTGCATGTGCAAGGAATGAAATCTCGCGGTTCTGTGACTTCAGACGAACATGGCCACTGCACCTGTAAGACAGGTGTCTCATGATGTGCCTGGAAGGACACAGAGCGAAACACTCAGAGCTTCAGATCATTATCAGAGCTACTGTATAAAACACCGAAGTACAAGGAGCTGCAGGGGCTGTTAAAGCAGCCAGGGCAGGCGGGGGGGGGTCGTGTATCTACAGTAAACACATATAAACACACATAAGCAGAGATTCCTTTTCATTTAAAGCCGAGAACCTTGAACTCCTGGGGGGCCCGATGAGACATCTTGTGCGAAATGTCACACAGATACCCTAACGTGTCAACATGCCCAATATATACATCTGTACGT